GTGTTTACAAATGAAAACATTTTCTAAACTCGCAAATTTAGTAGGAGGTTGGCGTTTACGTTTTTATTACTTTAACTGAAAAACGGTCGTGTTGCTGCCATGGATACAAAACAGTCCCTCTTAAAAATCATGCTTTAAAGACATTAAACTGTCCAGAGGACTGCCTGTCACCCGCCAGAGTTTGAAATTAGTTTGAAACTCGTTGCTGCTTGTGATGAGAAGTTACAACTGTTTGGGTCAAACTTTGTTTTTTTTTTTTTTGTTTTTTGTTTTTTAAACTTTGTAAATATGATTTCATGCAATAAAGACGATTGAAGCACGTGTTGTGGAGGACCCTCAGCTACTACCACAACAAATTTCAACTCAACTTCTGTAAAATTGTCTGAATTTTAGCCGTTCTCTTGTTTGCTAAGCTCAGTTAGCTGTGGCGGCCATCTTGAATTGGGCTGCCTCCATCAGCTGTAGAGGTGCATCCAAAGTTATTTCCTGAAAGTTTCTGTCCTGTTTGAGATATTTTGCTAACAGACTAAGCTGGCTGCAGATAGTAATGAGGACATTTTAAGCACACATCCTGCACAGAACGTTAGTGCTCAGAGTGTGTGTTGTGATGACTCTCAGATACTACCACCAAATTTCAGCCATTGCTCTGTTTGCTAAACTTGCTTAGCTGTGGCGGCCATCTTGAATCAGGTTCACTCAAAATGTGAATGAACTGTTGAAGCGCATCCAGTGAATTTTTATGAAAATCCATTCAGTGATTCGAGAGAGACTTTGCTAAAACGTTGTCGCCCGCCTTTCTGCAGCGGTTGATAATAAAGACTTCCACGATGAAGACGCTGGTTTCAGTTTCTAAAATTAACAGGTTGACTAAAAATAATAAAAAGGTCACGAGTGAGGACGTGCCTCACATTCCTGAGTCAGGCGGTTTGAACGAACTGTAAACGGCTCGCCTGGAACTGGACGAGGAGTTTTCAGATGAAGGCCCGGCAGCGTGCATCCAAGGTGGGAGTGTCCCGCCGTGAAGATCTGTGTCGGTGTGTGAAGCGAACAGTGAAATGATCCGTTTGAACACGGACTGGGGGAAACGTTAAACGCCATCACCACCAGGGTTTACGAGCTGCAGTGAAGGTGCGGTTAGCAGTGAGAAAACCAAAAAGTTGCATCAACGCAGCACAATGTCACCCGGAGGCAGAGGGAGCGAGACGGACCGGTTGAATCGGTCATTATCAGAATGAACCGCGCCAACACCTGGTATGCTGGAAAAATACGTTGCACAATTATGAATCAGTGGTTGTGTGTGTTTGAATACAAAAACAAACTGTTTTCTGAGCGGATGTTGTACAGTTATGTATGGTGGCTGTGAGAGATGCCCATGAGCTCTGGTTTTCATAAGTTTGAGAGTTTTTTTCCTATTTAAGAGAATATGCAGATGACACGGTTGTAAATTTCTGACTTTAATCTCAGAAAACCTTTTCCTTTCTTTTATAATTTTGTAAATTTCCAGTAAACATTTGAGTTTTTTTTTTCTGGTAAATGTAAAACTTTAAACCTGGACGTTTTGACTGTTTTCTCATAAATGTATACTTTTACAAAAACAGACCATCCTAGTTATGTTTTCATTCATGTTTACATTTGATTATGGAAAATCGGAGTCTTTTCTTGCAAGTCTATGACGCTCCAATATGAAAAACTATCCAAGTGTTTTCATGTAAATATATGACAATAAAAGTCAGAATTTCAGAGATTTTTCTCTGAATTTTACCTCCAGCTCCTTTCATCACAACCTCACCCTACAAAACTGGGGCGTTGTGTAAAATGTAAATAAAAGCAGAACGCAGCTCTTTGAGAGTTTCATAAACTTGTATTTTATTCACAACGGAACATAATGAACATATCAGATGTTGAAACTAAGAAATTGTACCTCTTTGGCAAGTTAATTCTATTAAAACAGGTAGTTTTAAGTGAAACAAATAAACAGCTGGAGGAGCATTTAGCAAATAATTAGTTTAACAAAGGTGAGTGAAAGGACGGTGTACAAACGGAGCATTTTAGAGGCTGACTGTCAGAAGTAAAGATGGGCAGAGGTTCACCACCCTGTGAAGAACTGAATGTAAAATAAGTGAACAATTTCAGAATAAAGTTCATCTCCAGTTCATAATCTCATCAACAGATTAGAATAATCTGTAGAAATCTCTGAGCTCAAAGGACGAGGCTGAGAGTTAAAGGATGGATGGTCGTGGTCTTCGGGCCCTCGGGGGCCACTACATTAAAACAGGTTTGGTTCTGTTCTGGGCTCATGGACACTTCCACAGATCATTGTCTGTAAACACAGTTCATCCACAGATGCTGCTTAAAGCTCTATCAGGCAAAGAAGAAGACGGGTGTGAACACCATCCAGAACCGCTGCCTCGTCTCTGGACCAACATGGAGAACTGTTCTGTGGTCAAATGGATCAAAATCTGAGATTCTTTTTGGAAACCACTGATTCCACGTCCTCCATACTAAAGAGGAGTGGGACCATTAGAACTTATCAGCTCACAGTTCAAAAGCCTGCCTCTCTGATGGTATGGGGGTGCATTAATGCCACAGCAATGAGCAGCTTGCAGGTCTGGAAAGGCTCCATCAATGCACAGGTTTTAGACTGGAACGAGACAACATTCATACCAAAACCTCCAGCAGCCGGTCTCCTCAGGTCCTGGATGTTTACAGACTGTTAGAAGAAGAGAGGACTCCTCACAGAGGAAACGTGGATCCTGCAACAACTTTGAGATGTTTTCTTGACGTAAAATTAAAATTCCAGCACATTTTCCCAAAGATGTGCAATTTCTTAGTTCATACATGATTTGTTTGTTTCATTGTGAATAAAATGATGTGCACATCATTACATTCTCTTCATTTACATTTTACACAACGTCTCAACTTTTTTAGAATTAGTTGTTTTTTTTTATACACTGTCGTAGCCAAGCTTTGGGAACAGGTTTAGATTAATCTCTCATTACATGTTATCCTAAAGTACTTTGTGTTTGTGCGTGTTTGCACATGCTCCTGTTTGACAGTGTGAGAAATCCAGAGTCTCCAAACAAACACCAGGACAGTTTTAGAAGAGACGGGGTGAATAACCTGGAGGCTGTTCCCTCAAAACAGACAAACCCCTCGGGTTTTTTTTTTTTTTTTACGCGCTTCATTCTTGTCCACACCGCAGGATGCAACTGGTGATGTAACTTCATCTATTTCAACACACGCAGAGGAAATATTTCACCTGTGTGATCCCGGGCCGGAGGAGCTCACCTTGTCCAGGTCCACAGGACTGCAGCGGTTGTACGGGGACATTTCGTCGTCTTCGTCCACCTGCTTTTCTGTCGTTTTCTCTGCAGTCTTTCCATTCATCTGTTCACCGACTTTCTTCCTTTCCCTCAGAGTCTGAAATAAATAAAAAATAAAGAAGTGATTATTAGAAAATACAATTAAATATTTTCAAATGTAATCATTTATTCTAAGGTTTGGTCAAGACAAACCCTGTTTTACTGAGCCCCTGATCTTTCCTCCCCCCTCCTGAATGTCAAACTTACCTCCACCTGAGGTGAGCACAGATTTTAAATGACAGCCTTTGAACTTACTAAACCCAAACGTTGGGCCGTTACCATTTTAACTTCATTAAATGTTACAGAATGAACAATGAAAGCCACGTTTATGAGTGTTTTTGAAGAAGCTGCACAGACTTGTCCTTAAGGTGTGATTTACTGTTAGAAGCAGGTGCGGTGCTTGAATCGCTCCCACCGCTGCACCTGACACGACGGCAAAAAGTCTCCGTCTCAAACTGAGCGTGCTCAGAGTCGAGTTCTCATCGTTTTTACAATAAAACGTGTAAAAGCCACAAAAAAAAAAAACGGCAAACATGCAGTGATTTTGTGATAATTTCTCAAAATGCAAGACAACGATGTACGTCATGAATAGTAAAAATAAACTTTAAAAATACTTCAAGTACTAGATTGGTACACAGGTTCATCGTTCTTTAATGCACATCACCCGGCATGGGGAGGATGACTCCCAGCTACCACCGTGTCAAATTTTAGCTCGGTATCTGCAAAACTGGCTGAGTTGCAGCTATTTTTGTGTTGGCTAAGCTCGAGTAGCTGAGGCAGCCATCTTGAATTAGGTAGACTCCAAACGTTAATAATTAATAATCAGATGTAGGCGAACTGCCAAAAACTACTTTCTGAAAGTTTGTTTAAAATCTGTAAAATGATTCATGAGACGTGCTAATCGACAAATAAAGTTGCCTCCAACAGTTGAAGATAAAGTTTTAATCAAAGAGCTTTTTCAATCTGTTAGCGCTCAGATTTTATGTTAGAGACCAGTCTCAGCTACTACCACACCTAATTCTACGTCATTATCTGTAAAAATGACCGAGTTAGAGACGTTCTTTGGATGTCGGGAAACCTTTTTGAACAACTTTACCCAAAACGGCACCAAATGTAAGCAGTGAACCATTTCAGTTATTTTGAACTGGCTTTTCTTTTATTCAAGACAAAACATTGAATGAAAGCTCAAACTAAAGATGCTGTTACACAGCAGACCTGTTGCTTCCAGGGTGATGTTCGAAGTGGAACAGTTTCACCACACGGACCTACGATACTCCACGTTATGTTAAATCACACGAAGCCATCTCGTGATCAGGTTATGAGCCTACACTCCAGTTAGAGACAAACAAACCAGAAAAATCAGAACAGAAACGAAGATCATATCTGCAAAGCTCAAAAACGTCATAAATCCAGTCTGATGGGTTTTAAATTCTAAATTAAAAAATAACATGCTTCTTGTCAAACAAACAACTGATTAAATTCAAGACGGCATCAGATCATCTTCGATCTTCGGTGCTGCTGCCCGTCCTTTAGGTCTGCCAGGTGAAATATTTATCACCTGGTGGTGGGAGCCTCTTATGGTTTGTCACCGACAGCAATTTAACACCTTCTGTTGCAACTTTATACCGTCCCGTCTCCACAACCTGCACATGAACACAAAAACAAACCTGAGGGTTCATCAAAGTATCAAGAAAAATGGATTTCAACTCACTCACTACGCTGATGATTGATCATGGAAGGACATTGTTTTATTCAGTCCTGAACGAGATGTTTCCACTTCCTCACAGACCTTCAGCGCCACAAAACCGGATGTTTTTTTAAAAAAAAGCAAAGCGTAAAATATCAAACCAGGAAAATCTGATCCAGATCTGAGCTCAGACTGTTCCTGATAATCTGTCGGAATGAAGCCAAAAACCATCGAACACGACTGATGCGCCCGTGCAACAAGCTTCTCCTCGGAAACCGTTTTTAAAACATTAGCGAGGCCTCGATCTGTCAACAACCAGGAAACGTTACCTGCCGTAGCTGGCTCAATGCCACTTTGTTGAATTACAGTTCATTATTTATAATTAATATCTTTGGCAGGTTTAACATAAACAGAAGTAATTTAGGACATCTGTCCGTCGCAGAGGAAACGGGTCCAGAAGGGAAACCCAGGTGTTTCTCTCCAGTCCCATGTCAGACAGGATATACGATCCCTCCAGTGGATTCTGGGTCTTTCCCAGGATCTCCTCCAAGTGTGACAGCCCCAAAATCCTCCAGAGGGAGGCAATCAGGAGGCGCCTGAAGCCCCTCTGCTGACTGATGAGGAGGAGCAGCGGCTGGAAGGCAGATCTCATCTCTAAAGATGAACCCAGCAGGAAGGTCGTTCCAGCCTCCTGGAGCCCCTCGTTCTTCTGGCCATGCCTCCACCTTTTGGGACTAAAATTGACAAACGTCACCACATTTAAAGATAGAAACCATCTGCAAGAGTTCTGTAAACCCAGAACAACGTTCCTGCAGGGTTTTGTAAACAAACGGACCGGAACCACAAAGTTCACGTGAAGGTTTTGTGCACAACGGGATGCATATCACCCGCCACCATCCATGAAGAGTTTTCAGTTATGATCTTCACGCTGGGAACGTTTTAGTAAAAGTTAGATCGCACCGTATTGCCAGATGTCACAGTCGGCGTACGTGCTGTGACTGACTCTCAGCTACTACCAGCTCAGATTTTAACCCAATCAATACTTGTAAATTTGTCCAAGTGTTGACATTTTATCGTTACCTAACGATTATTATTTGAATGTTTCATAAAATCCAAATGTTTTGCTAACAAACACACAAGCGCAAACATTATCTTTTGGGTCGGGCTTCTTTCACCTTTTACTTCTTCAGGGGTCACCACAACAAGTCATCCTCCTCCATCTCTGCCCTCTGCATCCTCTGTCCTCACTCCAACTACCTCCATTTCTCTAACTGCATCCATGTATCTCCTCTTTGGTTTTTTACCTGGCAGCTGCATTTCTAACATCCTTCTACCAATAAACCCACTGTCCCTCCTCTGGACATGTCCAAACCATCTCAGTCTGTCCTCTCTAACTGTATCTCCCAGTTGTTCTACCTGTGTTGTACCTCTGATGATCTCATTCCTAATCTTATCCATCCATGTCACTCCTAAGGAGAACCTGAACATCTTAATTTCTGCTACTTCCAGTTATTTCTCCTGTCTTTTTGTCCATGTCTCTGTCTCCAGACCATACAACTGGTCTCACCACTGTCTTGTAAACCTTTCCTTTGGCCTTTGCCGACACCCTTTTGTCACAAATCACTCCGGAAACTTTTCTCCATCCACTCCATCCTGCCTGGACTCTCTTCTTCACCTCTTTTCAACACTATTTTCCTGGACAATGGACCCCAAGTCCTTGAAGACCTGCACCTTTGTGACCTCTGCTCCTTGTAGCCTCACTGTTCCACCTCCTCCCTCTCATTCACACATGTACTCTGTCTTACTACAGTTGACTTTCATTCCTCTTCTTTCAAGTGCATACCTCCACCTCTCCAGGTTCTCTTCCACCTGTTCCCTGTTCTCACCACAGATCACAATGTCATCTGCAAACATCATAGTCCACGGGGATTCCTGCCTGACCTCATCCGTTAATCTTTTGGGTCATGCAATAAATGTTAAAAAAAAAGGAAGTAGTGATCATTTTAGAAACTCTTCCACACGCATCAGCCAGTGAAATAAAAGGTGCAGCATCCTGAACACGAGTCACAAGCATGACCCAAAGTTCTTTCACAGAGCTGTTTTCAACACCCTGCCAGGAATAAATGACTGAAGTCATGCCAACAATAAATAAATAAGTGGACTAGTTCCTCTGCAGTCTGACTGTTTTATCACCACGTTAGGTTCACATTATCCAAGGAGACGTTAGTTAAAAGAAGTTCTTTGCGAGAGCCACTCCGACAGATTATTACCGGTGTTTTAGTGTGAAACGGCGTCTGAAGAGCAGCTGAAACATTACAGATGGTGGAAAGTGAAATGTTCTGAGGGAACTTTGGTGACTCAAACTAGATATAAAAACAATCACAACCTGAGTTATAAATAAAACCTTTTGCCTTTTTTTATTCTCACACTATGTCCCATTACTACACACACTCACACACCAAAACAAGCCGTGTTTATGTTTATGCAGCGTTGACTTTATGCATTAGAATGATGCAACGTGCCGCTCCCTCTGCATCAGCAGCAGCCACAGCCTCCAGCTTCACGCATGGCCTGACAAACTCCAGCTCTGCACCGGAGACCAGCGCTGAGGGTGTGGTGTGCTCCGAGCCAGGTAACAGGGAGGAAGGCTTTCATCAAGTGGGTCACTACTGTCCGCCACTGACAGGCAAACGCAGGCGATGATACCAGTGTCTGTTAGCAAAACACCTCATGAGTCAGTGAATGAAACTCAGTTATCACTGGATGTGCATCGAAAACTGACCCAATTCAAGATGGCCACTAAAGCTAGTTGACATTTCCAAACACAATAATGGCTCCAACAGTCATTTTATAGATGGAAAGAGTTACAAATACAAACATGTAGAGTAGAGCAAGTAAAGACAGCAGCAGAGGAAATGTGGTCAATTTACCCTCTAGCAGTCTAAGCCTATAGCAGCATAATTAAGGGATAGCTCGGGAAACCCAAGCTGACCCCAACTATAGGATTTATCAAACGTAAAGACTTAAGCCCAGTCTTAAAACTGGACAATGTGTCAGCCTCACAGACAGAAACTGGAAGTTGGTTCCACAAGAGAGGAGCCTGAGAACTGAAAGATCTTCCTCCTACTTTTAGAAACTCTAGGAATCTCAAGTAAACCAGCAGTCTGAGAGTGATGTGCTCTGTTAGGAATGTATGGAACAATAAGATCTGTAATATAAGCTGGAGCTAGGTTGTTGATAGCTTTGTAGGTTAGAAGTAAGATTTTGAATTATTCCCTGAATTTGACGGAGCTACAACTGGAGAGATACGATCGCTCCTAAAATTGCAGGTATTCAAAAAATAAATAAAGCCGCTTTGTCCGTCCCATTTA